ATGATATGAATCCAAATGCAATTATACTAATCTTATACTCAAAGATCGCATGGTATTCTCACATTGGCACTTGAGATGGTAGTTTATTGAAATTCTAAGATAAAGCTCACAACAATAAATACATGGATCCTCATTTATTTTTAATAAAGAATTTTCGTGATTTGTTTTATCTTTTGTTACATTTTTTTCTATTGAATATTTCATTGCAGTGCACTCTTTGTATCATTTGCAATCTTATAGACGAAAATGGATAACACTTCTATAGTTTAAGCTTGACTATAAACGATGGGGTGGCATTATGTTCCCTTGACGTTTGTGTCCAGGAACGTCTAATGATAGTTTCCAATTTATGTATTTCTGAAAGGTGACGACCCCTTCTGTTGTCCAAATTCTTTGGTCTATCATCCTTCTGTTAACAACATGAACCAAAAAGATAAAAGAATATAATTTTTAATGCGCATATTTTCACAGTGGCGGGACTCTTACAATTTTTCTGTTATATGGTCAAACCCTTAAGAAAATTGCTTCATAACTAGATTGAATGAGAAAATTCTTCCTGTGGTTAAACGTGCGTTGCATGTGCACGACTACTTTCCTATAATTTTTTAAATGAAAATCAGTATTTATTGCATGTGACAAGTTGAGCCAAATACACTACCTTACTGTGAATTCTGTAGCCAAGACGTCATTTCATGGGATGATTTTTTACAAGCGTCCGAAGAAGAGCGAACACAAAAAATTGAAAACCAATTCCAAGTGAAGGCAAGGCACCTCTGACCCCTCTTTTCACATGGGAGGTAAGAAGGTAAGAGTTACTCAGAACCATTAATTAACGAAATCAACAGTTCAGATCTATTATACGCCCATACCTTCCATCTGAAAAGAGGGGGTAAGAGGGACCATGTTAAAAAATCTTACGTGTATGATCCAGGTACAAGATTTCATGCGGTGGAGGTTTTACCCAGGTTCGACCTCACTGCAGCAGTATTGGTATCCTCACTCAAGGAGAAGGGAGCCATTGCATCGAAAATTACATATGGTGCATGGGCACCATGGTGCCCTTTTTCAGAAAACCATTTTCTACAGTGCAAAAATATTTGATTTTTTATGTAGAAACACACACAGATGTATACAACGTATATGTAAAACTTCACAACATTTTACTTTCACACATGGCGTATAAAGAAAAGACAAATATGTATTTTTAAAATGGGCTGCTTTGTTTTGGGCCAGAATTTTCTTTACAGCTTACAAATTACATTTTTTAAAAACAAATTTTCATGGGTCCATAGTGAACACATACAAGTCCACATATTTTTTCTCGATTTTTGTAAACTACCAAATTTGATTTTTTTTCAAAAAAGAAACGGGCACCATAATGCCCATGCACCACAATTTCGCACTCTCCATTGTGTCCGGTAGTTTAGACTCCAGGCTGGGCATCGTGCTTTGAATTGAAAACATGATTTCTTTTCCGACCTAACATAAGGAACATTGCACGTACATAAAGGATGTCACAGGAAAATTACATAAGTATGTTACAGCAGAGAACATATACATTGCCATTGCTAAATAATGATAATTAATTCATCAATCTCAAGGAAAAGTATTGCGTTGGCTAGTGGCACAACAAAAGATTACAACACAAATTAATAAATGAACCAACGACAAAACCTTAGTGGAAAATAAACAAGAAAGGAAGACCAGAAGCCACACACTCAAAAAGCACGACTGGGGATCATCAACCAGTGTAGGGGTCGTTGACGAAGCCGCACTTGTTCCTGATCTGGCCGCTGGTGCTGTTCTTCACCTCAATATTGCCCATCTTCACCATGGCATCCCCAAAATGTTTGTACCAAATGCTATACCCGAAGAACGAATAAGTGTACTTTTCTACCAAGTCCTTGGTCTTTGGTGACGTCATGAGCGTCGCGTCGGAGGTGAAGAGCACTTTGCGATCGATCACGTTCCTGTAGTACTGGCTGTCCAGCACGTCGGGGGTCTTGTAGTCCTGCGGCACCGTGGGATCACTGCCGGCGGGGCAGTCCTGGGTCAGCTTACTAGCGTACGTGGCGTTCATCGACGTGGTGGAGTTGTCGTTGGCCGGCGGTTGGAGACGGTCGCGGAAGGAGGAGCAGTGCGAGAGGCCGATGCTGTGCGCGCCGGAGAGCGCGACCATGTCGGTTTGGCTGAGTCCCTTCTTGGCGAACATTAGTGTGAGGGTAGTGAGGTTGGCGAAGGGTGGGGGCAGGTTGGGGAGGGTCTCGTTTTTTTGGGACACCAATCCGTCGTAGCGGCCGGCCGGCATGTTGAAGTTTATTTTGTAGCCGCTGAGTAACTTGCTGGCGTCACGGCCGGCGAAGGCGACGATGTCGGCGCAGGAGACTACACCCGGACACTTTTCCTCGATCTTCTTTCTTGGCCGCCTCTATCACTTCGAAGCCACGCAGGCTCAAGTTTGGGATACCGAGCATCTCCGGTTCAGGCTTGCCAGAGACATTGTTCAGCAGGACAGAGGCATCGCAACCCTGAAAAGCACGCCCAAGTAACATAAATGCATGCATGCAACGATACCACCATAGTTGGCTTCTCAGTCGTGGAGTGCACAACTAGGCGTCACTAGTAGAAAAAGGGACAATGGTCCAGGTCGGGTCAGCCCATTAGTCTCGGTTCAATCCAGAACCGGGACCAATGGAGGCATTGGACCCGGTTCGTGAGCCCCGGGGGCCGGCCGGGCCACGTGGCCCATTGGTCCCGGTTCTTCTAGACCTTTTGGTCCCGGTTGGTGGGACGAACCGGGACCAATGTGCCTTGCTCCTGGCCCACCACCATTGGTCCCGGTTGGTGGCCTGAACCGAGACCAAAGGCTTCCCTTTAGTCCCGGTTTAAATCACGAACCGGGACCAATTAATTGCCTATATATACCCCTCGCCCACGAGCAGAGCACTCTCACTGCTCTATTTTTCGTGGCCGGCGAGGAGAGAGCTTTGTGGTGCTCTAGCTCACCTCCTATGCACACGAGGTGTTCGATGAAATGCCCGAGCCACACTACTTAATCTTTCTCCTCTCCAAGCTCGACCTCCAAGCTCCATTTTTCTCAATATTTGTCTAGATTTAGCGGTCCGTCACGCCCCGTCCCCGTCTTCACCGCCGTTGATCGCCCGCGCCGATCTCGTCGCCGGCACCACCGTGGTGAGCCTCTTGTTCTTATCTTCTTTCTGAAAGGGAAAAAAATTCTTACTTGTATGTTTATATAGATACTTGTATAATTTTCTTACTTTTATTATTGCATCTTATATAGTGCGATGGTTTTGGTATCCGCCACCGTCGGTCCTCGTCCTGTCTATGATTCGGATGTGGTATATATTATCTTTTCATAACTATTGATTCATCTATTGTTTATGACAATTATGCCGACCAACGTGACATAGATTTTATTTATCTAGGAGGTTGTTGAACCGGAAATTCCAACCGACCCTATTGTCGAGAGGTTAAATTTAGTTGAAGAAGAAAACAATTTCTTGAAGGAAAAAATTAGAAAAATTGAGGAGGAGAAGATGATATTGGAGTTGCATGTTGCGGATGTCGTGGATGATCACAAGATCAAGATGGATGCAATGCACTTGAAGATTAGAAAGATTAGAAAATATGACATCCATACCGAGGCTTGGTATCATTATGCCGTTGGATCAGTTGTTACATTGGTTGCGATTATGATCGCATTTGTTTTCGCATTGAAATGTTTTACATAGTTTCAATGTATGGTTTAATTAATTTAGATGCTCTGCAGAGCTTTATGTTGTTAGATGAGAACTATGTATGTAGTTTGGTTTTAATGTGATGATGAACTTCTATTAATTTGGTCACTTAATTATCTATTCATGATGTTCTGTAATGATTTTTGACACACTTAATTATATATAATGCACGCAGATGAACTGGCAATGGATGTACGGTTCAAGACACACCTCCGAGTACATTAAGGGCGTGCATGAATTTCTCGAAGTGGCTGAGGCAAACAAGCAGAATGGTTTTATATGTTGTCCATGCCCTATATGTGGGAATACGAAGTCTTACTTTGACCGGAAAATCCTTCACACCCACCTGCTTTACAACGGTTTCATGCCACACTATAATGTTTGGACGAGACACGGAGAAATAGGGGTTATGATGGAAGACGGCGAAGAAGAAAAGTACGATGACAACTATGTGCCCCCCGAATACGGTGAAGCTACTGAAGATCAAGAGGAACCAGACGATGTGCACGATGATGCTGCAACAGGCGAAGCTGCTGAAGATCAAGAGGAACCAGACAATGCGCCCGATGATGATGATCTCCGCCGGGTCATTGTCGATGCAAGGACGCAATGCGAAAGTCAAAAGGAGAAGCTGAAGTTCGATCGCATGTTAGAGGACCACAAAAAAGGATTGTACCCCAATTGCGAAGATGGCAACACAAAGCTCGGTACCGTACTTGAATTGCTGCAGTGGAAGGCAGAGAATGTTGTGCCTGACAAAGGATTTGAGAAGCTACTGAAAATATTGAAGAAGAAGCTTCCAAAGGATAACAAAGACAGTACATACGTAGCAAAGAAGGTCGTATGCCCTCTAGAATTGGAGGTGCAGAAGATACATGCATGCCCTAATGACTGCATCCTCTATCGCGATGCGTACAAGGATCTGAACGCATGCCCGGTATGCGGTGCATTACGGTATAAGATCAGACGAGATGACCCTGGTGATGTTGACGGCGAGCCCCCCAGGAAGAGGGTTCCTGCGAAGGTGATGTGGTATGCTCCTATAATACCACGCTTGAAACGTCTATTCAGAAACAAAGAGCATGCCAAGTTGATGCGATGACACAGTGAGGACCGTAAGAAAGACGGGAAGTTGAGAGCACCCGCTGACGGGTCGCAGTGGAGAAAAATTGAGAGAAAGTACTGGGATGAGTTTGCAAGTGACCCAAGGAACGTATGGTTTGCTTTAAGTGCGGATGGCATTAATCCTTTCGGGGAGCAGAGCAGCAATCACAGCACCTGGCCTGTGACTCTATGTATGTATAACCTTTCTACTTGGATGTGTATGAAGCGGAAGTTCATTATGATGCCAGATCTCATCCAAGGCCCTAAGCAACCCGGCAACGATATTGATGTGTACCTAAGGCCATTAGTTGAAGAACTTTTACAGCTGTGGAATGGAAACGGTGTACGTATGTGGGATGAGCACAAACAGGAGGAATTTCACCTAAAGGCGTTGCTATTTGTGACCATCAACGATTGGCCCGCTCTCAGTAACCTTTCAGGACAGACAAACAAGGGATACCACGCATGCACGCACTGTTTACTTGACACCAATAGTATATACCTGGGAAGCTGCGGGAAGAATGTGTACCTGGGCCATCGTCGATTTCTTTCGACCAACCATCAATGTCGAAAGAAAGTCAAGCATTTCAAAGGCGAGGCAGATCACCGGAGGAAGCCCGCCATGCGTACCGGTGATCACGTACTTGCTATAGTCAATAATTTACACGTAATCTTTGGAAAGGGTCCCGGCGGACTAGCTGTTCCGAGTGACGCTGGGGGACACGCACCCATGTGGAAGAAAAAATCTATATTTTGGACCTACCCTACTGGAAAGACCTAGAGGTCCGCTCTTCGATCGACGTGATGCACGTGACGAAGAACCTTTGCGTGAACCTGCTAGGCTTCTTGGGCGTGTATGGGAAGACAAAAGATACAGTCGGGGCATGGGAGGACCTACAACATTTGCACAAAAAAGACAGCATGCCTCCAAAGCAGTATGAAGGTCCTGCCAGCTATGCTCTTACCAAAGAAGAGAAGGAAATCTTCTTTGAATGCCTGCTTAGTATGAAGGTCCTGACTGGCTTCTCGTCGAATATAAAAGGAATAATAAATATGTCAGAGAAAAAGTTTCAGAACCTAAAGTCTCATGACTGCCACGTGATTATGACGCAACTGCTTCCGGTTGCATTGAGGGGGCTTCTACCGGAAAACGTCCGATTAGCCATTGTGAAGCTGTGTGCATTCCTCAATGCAATCTCTCAGAAGGTGATCGATCCAGAAATCATACCAAGGCTAAGGAGTGATGTGGTGCAATGTCTTGTCAGTTTTGAGCTGGTGTTTCCACCATCCTTCTTCAATATCATGACGCATGTCCTAGTTCATCTAGTTGACGAGATTGTCATTCTGGGCCCCGTATTTCTACACAATATGTACCCCTTTGAAAGGTTCATGGGAGTCCTAAAGAAATATGTCCGTAACCGCGCTAGGCCAGAAGGAAGCATCTCCATGGGCCATCAAACAGAGGATATCATTAGGTTTTGTGTTGACTTCATTCCTGGCCTTAAGAAGATAGGTCTCCCTCAACCGCGGTATGAGGGGAGACTGACTGGAAAAGGCACGCTTGGAAGGGACTCAATAATATGCAGGGACGGATATTCTTGGTCTCAAGCACGCTACACAGTTCTACAGAACTCTACCTTGGTGACCCCATATGTCGATGAACACAAGAACAGTCTGGGCTCCAAACACCCGGAGCAGTGCAACGGCTGGATTACATGTGAACACTGTTGGGGAACGTAGCAGAAATTCAAAAATTTTCCTACGTAACACCAAGATCTATCTATGGAGAGACCAGCAACGAGTAGAAAGGGGAGTGCATCTACATACCCTTGTAGATCGCTAAGCGGAAGCGTTCAAGTGAACGGGGTTGATGGAGTCGTACTCGTCGTGATTCAGATCACCGATGATCCTAGTGCCGAACGGACGGCACCTCCGCGTTCAACACACGTACAGCCCGGTGACGTCTCCCACGCCTTGATCCAGCAAGGGGAGAGGGAGAGGTTGAGGAAGACTCCATCCAACAGCAGCACAACGGCGTGGTGGTGATGGAGGAGCGTGGCAACCCCGCAGGGCTTCGCCAAGCACCTACGGGAGAGGATATGTGTCACGGGAGGGAGAGGGAGGCAACCAAAGGCCTTAGGTATGATTGCTCCTCCTTTTCCCCACTATATATAGGGCCAAGGGAGAGGGGGAGGGCGCAGCCTTGCCCCTTCCTCCAAGGAAAGGTGCGGCTAAGGGTGGGGAGGAGTCCATCCTCCCCAAGGCACCTCGGAGGTGCCTTCCCCCTTTAGGACTCTCCCCTTTTTCTCTTCTCTTGGCGCATGGGCCTCTTGGGGCTGGTGCCCTTGGCCCATGTAGGCCAAGGCGCACCCCCTACAGCCCATGTGGCCCCCCGGGGCAGGTGGCCCCACCCGGTGGGCCCCCGGGACCCTTCCGGTGGTCCCGG